TTATATTATGTACAATAAAGTAGACTTTAGGTGTATTCTTTTATTATCTGTAGTGTAACTTGTGTGGAATTGAAATAAAGCTTTTATTATTATTATTCTCTTTATTACATTTAAATTATTATTATTATTATCTCTTTATTTTATTAAATATACATATAAATTACATTTTTAAATATATTTATATACAAAAACAAAAAAATACATTTAAAAATATAAAAAAATAGTGTCCCATCAGTATCGGGTACAGGGACCAAGATATCGGTGGTTAGGACTCCAGAGACAGAAACTTCCTCACAATACGTGCCGTATCGAGAAGAACTGCTTTCTGCATCAGGCCCTTAATCCAACTGCCTAACGCGAGCCTCTGAAGATGTTGGTCGAGGCTTTTAGCTAAACTAAGCTAATTAATCCATGGGCCGATATGACTATCGGTACAACGATTGCCGGATCAACATCCCACATGTCGACAATCTCGTGGGCCAAATCCAAATACTTTACTTGTTTATCTTTTTCAGCTTTTAAGAGATTGTGGACATGTGGAATGATAATGTCAACAATCATTGCTCGGCGCTCTAATCGGTCTATTAATACTATATCAGGTTTATTGGCAACAATAGTCCTGTCAGTGATAATAGGGCGATTCCAGTACAACGTTGCACGACCATTTTCAAGAACTGAGTCGGTCACATATTTGTAGTACGGTAACTCTACAGTTACAAGGTTATACTTGAGAGCAAGTTGCTGATGGACTATCCTGGCCACTTGGTTATGTCTATGCAAGTACTCGCCGTTGGCAAGACGAGAACAACCGGCAATTATGTCTGAGGCTTTCACCAGGACAATGACATGGCCGACAAATGTCCATTGTGCTGTCCTTCAGGATATACTTCCGATAATTATTCGTCATAACAACTTCATCAGTAATTGCAAAGACTAAACCTTCAGTTTCCCCAAAGAGGTCACCGAATCGCAGCCAGAATACAGACGCTAGGTGGTCTACCTCAGGCCTGTTCAAGGCCCGATAAAAACGTCCATGCAGCTGTTTGCCCTTCCATATCTCCTTACGATCAGTAATGTTGAGTACTGCAAATTTGCGCAAGTTCTCTTTACCTAGACCAAGCGGAGTGAGTCCGTTATCAACTGCTACTACATCCCTATACATATCCACATCAACAGACAGGAAGTAATTCCCGAGGTTACATATCTCACGATTGTGGAGGGTCTTAGCATTTAGAAAACCCCGACCACCACATTTTCGTGGAATATATAACCTCATCACCGATGAACGTGGATGATGCATTCGGTACGCAGTAAGCAATGTACGAACTCTTCTATCCAGGGTATCTAGTTCAGTCTGAGTCCATCTAAGTATTCCAAAAGAGTTGGTTAGAACTGGTATGACCCAATCATTATTGCCACCTTTTTTGTTTTTTTTTTTCCTTGCGGAAATCCCCTCGGACACCACCTATTGGTGGCATGTCGGACTCGAACCGACTAAAACCGCACGCCGTCTCGGGTACTAATAGCCGGGGAACCAGGTATACCCTAGAAAGGAAGTCCCTGGTGCCCCGACATTCCTCGGGCCATCTACAACAAGTAGACGACCCCCCCCCCCCCCCCCCCCCGGTGTAGGAACCCCATGTTCCCTCTGCTCCCTGGAAGCGAGCGCGCTTCGCAACGCGCTCGCCGCCACCCCGGCCTGCTTCTGCTAGGATGTAACCCCCTACGGTACCTGTCCCGTTCCCGGGCCTGGCGGGCCGGGAGAGTCCTAAACCTCTCCCGGTCCAGCTCCACCGTCTCCTTCGCGAGCATAACTTGCTCGCAGAAGGAGACGGCAGCGTTCCACGCACTCTCGCTCCGCACGATAGCAGCGATCAGGCTATCGAGCGAGAGAACTCCCACTCCGATGGCCGCCACGAGGTCTCGCCTCTGTTTAACCCACGCCGGGCGTATGGAGAGCCGTATCCACGGTCTGACCATCGCAGTGGTGGCACTCAGGCGTTGGCTCCTTGCGGATCAGACACAGGTGATCCCCGAAACATCCTTTCCCAGTGATCACCTGCGTCAGTCGGTATGAGTGGGTCCCGTGACGCCTCTCGAGCCAATCCTCCATAACGGGTCTTACCTTTGCCCGGTCTTGTCTTACGGTTGCCCGAGTCGTTCCCTCCACTCCCCTATGATGACCTGGCGGAGTTGGGATTTCCGGTCACCGGGATCCGGTCACCTCAATCTCGGGACACCGACCCAACGCAAGGCCAAGCTCGCCTTCAGGTCCCACGGTGGAGTTCCGGCCAGGAGACTCGCCGCCTCAAAGGAGATTGTGCGGTACCCCCTTATGATCCTGATGGCCAGCACTCCTGCGGTCGTCGCAGTATCCCGATGTTGCTGGCCTTCAGGGCCCCCGCACCTTATTACCACCTGACAAAAGAGTATTTAAAACCTTTTTCAGGCGGCCAAAGAAGCGTTCCTGTAACGATTGTTTCATAGTCAACTCATTTACACCTAACGCCTGTGAAATACCCAGATATGTCACAGGCGTTAGGTGTGTTATGTTTCGTTAGCTGAGAGACACCTAAAGTGCGTGGAATCTGAGAGTTTCAACCTATCAGACTCCACAACCCTGAGTCTTTTTACATGCATGATTGCACACTTATCTACCTACACCAAATTTCATCCTGATACATTTACTAAAGGTTTTAGTTATTTCTAGTAAATTTATCATTACGGAATTACTGGAAGCAAACAGTTTTAAATCATCCATGTAAAGGAGGTGGGATATAACCTTACCACCTCTCTGCAAACGATAGCCTAGTATAGCCTAGATAGCCCTGAACCCTTCAACATAGTGCTGAGAGGATTTAAAGCCAAGCAAAACCACAAAGGACTTAAACTATCACCCTGAAATATACCCCGCTTAATCATTATATATTCGCCATTGCCTTGAGATTGCGTTCTCCATTGTCGCATACATGTCTCCATAAAAGTGCATAGAGTTGTATCAATCTTGTACAACTCCATCACCCACAAGAGTTACGTATGCGGTACAGAGTTATAAGCCTTTTTATAATGTATCCAACATGTCGCTAGATCTTTTCGGTTACGGCGTAATGGTCGTGTGGGTAATGGTCATGTCAATAATAAGGAGCTCTTTAGTGCCACGTGCTCCTCTTCTACATCCATTCTGAGAGTGAGACATAATAGAGTTGTTCGTAATATGAGATGTTATCTTCACTCTCAGAATGGACGTTAGTAATTTATATAACGTCGGAAGACACGTTATTGGCTTATAATTTTTAGGATCCGTGGCACTACCAGATTTAAAGACTAGGTGAGTTACTCCCATAGTCATAAAAGATCGAAGCGAACGCGATTCTAGGCATGATTGAAAATGAGATGCCAAACGTACATGTGAGATACGGAGCCGCTTCGCTTAACTCGTCGTGGCGGGGGCACTGCGTTGCCCCCAGATTCGTGAATAAAACGGAGTTTTAAAGATGGATGTTTAAATTGAACGGTATAATGTCTATTTACAAACTACCTCGCTGCAATATTTCGGTGTGCGTTTCGATTCCTCCGCCACGTTATCGAAACAGAAAAAACTTCGCCAAAAATTTGTCAAAATTTGTGAAAATCAAAGGAAACAAACCAATAATTTTTCAAAGTAGAAATAAAGAAGTAACAAACGATAGTTTGTTACTTCTTTATTCAAGAAGAAAGGTCTTAATTTGTCAAAACTAATGAAAGCAATAAATACTACTAAATTTTAGGTAAACAGACAAAAGCAGTCCTGTGAAGTTTTTATTTCGATAACATGGCGGAGCAATTGAAACGCACACAATGTGCCGTGTATGTTAGAAGGTGCTCGCTGATACTGTAGCTTTCCATTGGTGAAAGATTTTTTAAATCGGTTTACTGATTTAGGCGTTAAAGCTAACAAACAAACAAACACTTTCACATTTATAAATATGGAAGTATGGATTTATATTATAAGTAGATTTTCAGATTTCGGAATAAGTTTCAGAGGAGTGAACGAATCTCCTTTCTCTTTTATAAATAAGGTGGGTGGACCATGGAAGGCCACTCTAAAGAATAAACACTTTTTATTCGTATATTTACTGGATAAATGAAAGAAACAAATTGTTAAGGAATACTTTGGTTTATTGTGTACCATACAAAACACTTTTTTTTTACCTAGCTTTAATAACTATTTGTTAAACTTAAGTTTTATTAAGCTCTTCCAAATGGCCTTGCAAGGAACAGGGCTCCAAACAAGGCCAATATTATAATTCAGTCGTTCAACTTAAAAATAGAGTTGTAACAATTAATATATCCGCTTTTACTAAAACTACATAATAAGCTCTTTCATTTAAGCGAAACATTAAATGCACAATATATTTTTATTATCTATAAAAATCACAATGAACATTACTTGAACACCATCGTATAACTAAGAATATATTAATGGAAATTATTTAAAACTAGTAGTAATAAATATTATATTGATAAAAAATAACTTGTCAACGCGTTTTATAATCAAATTAAAAACTTTTTTTTTTACCTTATATGGCCTTCTTAAGGCTCCGTTCTTTGTAAGGCCACAATGTTCCTAAGAAGGCCAAACTAACAATCTATGACTTTTTTATATTAATTATAATAAAATAATAGACACTACAGACGTACTGTAATTATTACAAACTTATCATGACACATAGTCAGTCTTGTTGTCAGGAATATTTAAAATCAACGGTTCTTAAGATTAAAAAACGAAAATAATAATAATAAAACGTTTGATTCGGTGCGATAAATCTTCTTCTAATTGTTTTGTGAGAATAGTTGTCTTCCCAATAATTTTAGTACTGTTACCGCTTACTAAATGGTTTCTAAAGGTGCGTCTTGGAATATTAAACTTCAACGCTGCAGCATTTGTATTTAGTTCATTATTTTGTACTGCTTCCATGGCTCGTCTTAAACTATCTTCGTTCCATTTACTACCTCTTTTTCTAGGTTTTGACTGTGACATTCTCGAAATCTGAAATAATATGTATAAATTTGAATCATCTGTTCAATTACCAACTTATTGTTTTTTTTTTTTTTTGCTTTAATTATAGTTTTAGACAGACTATCTTAGATATACAATTTTTAACTTATCTCATACTTACTTTACCGCTTTTAACAAGCAAATATTTTTTATATTCGTTGCTTTTCATGTAAATTAATTTAGTTTATTTCCAGACATAATCTCTTCATAGACATAAAATAAATTTAAATATATACTGAAAATAAAATAATTTTGAAAAAAGTGTCTATTCAATCTGAGTTTAAAAGTTAGAAAACCCTTAAAAAATATTATAAATATAAAACATTGTTTTAACTTTAACGGTACGTATTTATAACTCCATAATTAGTGTTCATATGTTCATGGTTTATAGATGTAAGGCCCATGTTCCCTAGCAAGGCCAACCGTCAAATTTTTGATTGGCCTTATAAGGAACCACCGGCTTTCCTAGGAACACTCCCATTATTTTCACTTAAATCGAGGCAATTTCTTTTTTTTTTCTTGAGTTCCATAAAAATATCCTTACACGACAATTCACAGTAAAAAATATAAGGAAACAATAGGTTATTTAACTTAAAACTTACGTTTTGCTGTGCGCGCGAATAACAATTGTAACGTCGACGACCGAAGTCTACGAATTGTGAGATCGCACTGCCACAATAGCGGCGCGAGCGACTCGCAGCCGCGTCTGTGGCCTTCAGTCTGATGGATTGTAGTGTGTAGTAGAAGGAATATGTCTTTACATGTCAATAACTACGACTTTTTAATAGTTGGCCTTCAAAGGAGCGTGGCCTTCCATGGTCCACCCCACCCACCTTAGATAAATATAGTGCCATTTTTATTAAAAATGCACAGAACGTTCCTCCTACAGTTGTTATTTAAATCAGGTTTAGTCATAGATTATTATTTTTGTGTGAGTACATCACTTGAAATAAAACGAGTGATCTTCATTAATAGAGTATTTTATTGATTTAAATTTGTGATGTAATTTTATACCACGTAACTAAGTATGTATATATCTGAACACTTTGGCGTTGCATTCTTCGTGAATTCCAGTATATGTTCTTTTATCTATTGTATCTAGGAGAGCAAACCAGCAGACGGGTCACCTGATGGTAAATGACTACCGCCACCCGTGAAAACCTGCAACTCAAGAGTCACAGAATGCGCAGGCGCCCTTTGAGTCCCTCCCCAAAATTAGAGGGATGGGTAATTAAACCACGACATTACTAGAAATGACTTTATTCTTAATACATTTCCAACTTACGTTTCTAATAAAAATAATATATATCACACACATGTACTGTGATAATAAGATTAACATATCATTTTATTATAATAACGCACGAACTAGTGTGAGAGTTAGTTGGTGGGGTGCTAGCAAAGTTTTCTTACATTGCGTACTAGTAATAAGCCAATGGATAACTATACGAATAAGCGTAAGGGTAATAGGAATAGGCCAAAGGAGAGCTGTACGACGCTACGTAGGATGCCGGGGCATAGTAGCCGTAGTCGACAAGCACTTGGGGCTTAGCCACAGCGGGGCTTACCAGCAGCAAGGCCGCAGAAGCGATCAGCATCATCTGTTCAATAAAATATTTTATAAATTATATCATACATACATACATACACAATCACATTCGTATTTACAACCCACATTTTGCGAACTGTGATTTGGACCCAATTACGTAACGGTGGGCAAATTAATAGCTAGGCTATTGCTAACCGAGAACTTATGGAATTAAATAATATAGGAAAATTTGGAGTATATTATATAAGTGTATTGAAAGGCAAGGACAGTAGGCAAAAAGGAATGCCAATGGAAGGAAAACGACATTATTTATATGGATAGGTTTAAAACAAGGGTTAAAACAATGGCTTGAGAAGATCAGAGCCCAATAGCCTTTTTGTTTTATATTAAATTGTTATCACTAGATGTGTGTAAAAAAAAAATATGGCTTCGACTCATCTGAAAAATATCAAATCGATTTAATCTATCTCAAAAATCGCTGTGAGTACCTACATACAAAATATAACACGACACAGTAAAACTACTTAAATATGGGAATCAGAACTCATTACTTTAAAATGGAAGTAACATTAAATCAATTTAATGAATAGATAACATAGAGTTGAACATAAGAATTCTGCACCACATTTTTATTTGCGTATTTAATAGTGTCGTAATATAATAAATTTTTAGAAACAAAGGAATTAAAAAACCTAGCCATCTGTCCAATGGTTAAAGATATATTTCTTACATGCCCTAATTAACACAAAACACTAATTCGACGCGACATAGAACATACAACCAAGTATTCGAATGATAAAAACAAAAACATAATACAGTTACTTTACTGTTACAATCATTATCGATCAGGTTTACGATTTTTGAGTGATGGTGTTGGCTAATGAAATGTTATTCAAAGTTTTTGAATAGAAGTTGTGAAACATTATTAGTAGACATCCCAATTAGTGCAAATAAGGAGATTGAAGAAAGTTGGAAGATGTACGGATTTTGGTTATTACTTTTTCACTTCATACTTTCTTTGACTTAGGATTTAATTTTTTTTTTTTTTTTTTTAAAAAGACAACTCCCGCATTAGGAATAAATCCTGTGTCGCGGGGGACTTTACAAACATACATGAAACGGACACAAAGAACACCCAGACTCAGAACAACAATTTGTGGATTACACAAAGTGTCGTCCCATGTGGGGTTTGAACCCACAACACTCGGCGTAGTAGGAAGCGGCGTGGCGACCGCTTAAACCACTACGCCATCCGTGCAGTCAATTATTAATTAATCCCTCACTTTTAAAAAAGCTTACAACTTAAAAGCTTAAAAGGTATTATTATTATTATTTAATCTCAAAACTTTTTTTGTAACAATATAAAAATTCTTATAGTTATTTATATTACAAAAAAAGTGAACAAAGGAACTACGTATTCACTTTTATAAAATGACATAAAAACTCACCAATTTAAACATTTTAGTTGTTAGTTAGTTCCGATAAAAACAGAGCAACAGTTTTGATCTAGTGTGATAACTAGAGGGAACTGTTATCGATCAATGCGACGATAGGAGTCATACCATCTTCTGCGTCGGTACTCCTTTTATACGGAGCTCGAGGTCCGGCGTCCAGTCCGTGATTGGAAAATCTAATTATCCAGTGACCGTCCTCAACATACAGCTATATAGGATGTAAAAAATGTAATACACAATGTCGCATTAACAGTTAATAGTACGTACTCCATTACCATATGAAGCCGGATCATACTCATGACAATAAACACAATGAAGATTCAACGCGTGATTAAGTGGCAAAAAATAAACAATTGCTATATTGTTAAGACCTGTGAATTTTATTTAAATTAGAGCCTTACATTTTTGGCAAATCCTAAGAAGTTTTCTTTTAAAATCTTCCGTTTATTTTAATGTTTTCATGACTTTTAAGCTGAACTTCCACACTAGTAATGTATCCTGTGCCGGGATTTTCCAAACAAATGGATAAAAAGAACACCCAGACTCAGAACACTAATCTGTGGATCACACAAAGTGTTTTCCCATGTGGGGATCCAACCCACAACACTCAGCGTTGTAGGAAGCGGCAAAGTAACCTCTTAAACCACCACGCCATTTCATGCACTCATTTTAATCGAATTAATCAGAATTCTAATCCTGAAAAGGTAATAGTCTAGTCATTACACACCAACAAATTTTAGAAGAACGCCGAAGATCCGCATTATAAAATGTAGCATATATGCCGAAGACTAATGTCGAAAATGTTTTTGTTATTAGTAATTCTGTTCATTAAACATACCTACGTGCTTTTGGGATGAACAATATTTATGTATCGTGTGGCCACTGCTGTGTACGATATTCGTCAAGACATGTCTAGGAAATGAATGTGTTGGAGTCGGACTAGAAGTACGAGTATGTATGATATGAAAGGCGTTGTACGTCTCTAACTCTCAAAAGTCAAAAAGATTTACCGCAGTAGAAAAACTCCCACCACAAAGTATTTTGACTTCGTCTGCTTAGACCACAGCGCAGCGTAGGTACTCAATTTTACAGTTTCCGGGTTTCTAAGCAGTTCTCGGTTGTTGTGTAGACCCTGTTCGGTTTTTATGAGTTTAGTATTGCTAATCTGTTAACCTCTTGAGAACGAATCTAAGAAGAATTAAACTGTCACAAGATGGCCATCTACCATTAAATCTCAGCATATCTCTGAATTAAACGGGCACAGACACGGAATTTCATAAATGAATCGCTTGTATTTGAACAGGCGGCCAAACCTGACAGGGTTTCGCTGGAAATTCCTCTTTAGGTTAGATACTTCCAGAGCCACGGCAGCATGTGCTGTCAAATCACTTCTTCAAACATATGTGATATCACTGTTATGAGGATACTTTTTAAAGCCGACAATACCTGTCCTAATCTCGCAACGCCAAATTTTGTATCAAATCATTAATCAAAAAAATGTCTATGACAGTTTTTGTTAAACGAAAATAAATATTTAATCTTTCCAAGCAGCTTAAAATAACTATTTTGGAGGTTGGGCTTTCATAGTCCTTTTCGTATCACTTAATTTAGGAAAATTGGATACTGAAACAGAGGTGTATAATATTATTTTCTTGCGGACCTATAAACCTCACATTTTGATTTTGTTGGTTCTGGTCAATAAATTTTTAGTTTATATTCTTTCATATTTTAGTTAATAATTTATAGTTTCATAAATCACTGCGTCATAATTCAAGTTTTCACAAGACTTTCAAGATACCGTATTGTTTTTTATGTATACCTTTATTTTACACTAACCCATGGAGCAATCATTAAAAGTTACGTCTCGCATTATGGCAAAACCACAAACCATCTGAGGCGCTTTACAAAAGCGGCCATCACGCTCCGTAAATATTCATATTAAGATAAGTAGTAACCAGTACAGGATTCTACACACACTTCCTCATACAACCGATTATATTAAGTACTAATGTTTACTTTCAGCCAAGCAGGTGGCCAGTGTCATTGCCAAAATGAGTAGAGACAAGTCACCCAGTCATGACAGCCTTAGTATCGGACACCTAAAGCATGCAGGTGACGGATTCAGAATACGGAATGTCACCACCCCTATTCATCCCGTGGGTGTAGTAAGAGCCGACTAATGGAACAAACTGCACAGGACAACAGCACTGCAAAAAGAAGGAAAACTTGAAAGGAACCCTATACCAACCCGTCTGGCCAGCGTGGTATAGTAGGCCAAAACCTCCTTTCTAAGGAGAGGCCTATGTCCAGCAGTGGACTATTATAGGCTGTTGATGATGATGATGATGATGAAAGCATGTAACAGTTATTTATCCATTATATTTGTATTGCGTACGAAGTAGTAAATAGTGACACCTGTCGCCCCGCGTCGCATTTATTGATTTTTTCGAAGTAGATTGTAACTATAGTATTGATGTCTCTTCGTCCGCCATCGGACCACTAGATGGCGTGGTTTTTTTGATAAGTCGTAGTAATAATTTATCCTGTCAAATTGTATCGGTGTTAAAAGTGTCCTGTTATGGTAGGAAGCGGGTTACTGTTGTATTGAGTCGTATTAACCTCAATGATAATTTGAATTCGATTGGGCTCCCATTCATGACTAATTAAAGAAGGGATTCTTTCTAGAAATTTCATAAACCGAGCATATATAAGTCCAGCTTCCAGCCGCAAGGGACACTCTGGTGATTCTAGTCTTCCGATCTGAAGTAGCGTTTTGATTGTCTGTTTATTCATTTTTAGTAAATTCTGTGTCCTAAGTGGTAAGTTAATCTTATTTTTCTTGTAGTCATTTGTTTTTGCAATCTGAACGATTATATGAGTGTTAATCCATTCGTAGGGCTCCAGATCTCGGGTCAAGAGATACTTCTCAGACGGCGTGCTCTTTTGTTTGTGGCCTTCTTGTGCGTAAATGAGCTCCTAAGTTTCATCTGATTAAAGGCAGTCACGCGGCTCACAAGCAAGCGGTCAGCCTCATTCAAGGGTTACGTAATTTTTATTAATGTAACTAATATAAATACCTAACCTTCCTATATACCTAATATAAATAGCCGACTCGGGCTGGTGTGGAAACAACCTGCAGGATTGCTGACGAAGAGGCTTCTAGCAACATCAGCTCGGCCTTGACGCGCGCCGCTGCGGGATCTTTTTTTATATACCCACTATTTATATTTATTCAATTTTAACTCTGTATTTGGAATGAAATATACATGTATGTATGACTGAGGTGTAAGTTGTGTTTCTCTGAAGAGTCCCTTAGGTTGCCCACACGCACACATATCTATACCCTTCTGTTGTCGACAAGGCGCCTTGAGGTAATCTCGTGTATTTCTCCGCTGGGTAAGCCGGTGAGTAGACCGCCTGACACGTTCAGCGGTTACAAACATGCAGGTGAGCACTTGCCTGGATTGTTGTCCATGTTCTTCACACTCTGTATTACTCATTCTTATTTACCATCAGAAATGATGAGGACTATAGTCGCACCGATTCTGAAGGACAGAACAGGTGATATTTCTGATGCATTCAACTACAGATCTGTAGCTTTAGCTACAGTGATAGCGATTGTTTTGTACGGTCTGACAAAGAATTAAGTAAGTTTATAAAACTTAATGATGTTCAGTTTGGGTTTAGGCAAAATCTATCCACTGAGAGCGCAATTTTAGCCCACAAGCAGACAGCACAATACCATGTAGACAGGAGCACGCATACATGGAGGTGTCATGTAGGTATGCGTGCTTTTTTTATCTTTCCAGAGCCTTGTGTCTTATGATGACCTTTGGAGGAAGATGGGGGAAGTATACCCATCGAACTCACGATGTTATTCCAATATTGGTATACTAATATCAAATTAACAATGTGCGATGATGCTTTTGTTTAGAATGTGGGGTAAGGCAGGGCGGACCGACCTAAGCTATTTAACTTGTATATGAATGAGTTGATCGTCGACCTCAGTGGTAGACGTGTCGGGCCGTCTTTAGCCTATCGGAGGGCCTGGGCACATTGGGATAATGGGGCCCCTATGACCTTGACTGATTAGTGTCTGTGATAATTATTACAAACTAGGTATTCAGTCAGTCAGCCATTTTCGCTGGATTTTTTTTTAAATAAATGGTTTACGGTAATAAATATCGATTATCGAATTAGGTAGGTAGGAATTAGGAGGCCACTATCTATCGAGGGGCCCTGGGCACGTGCCCAGAGTGCCCAGTGGGAAAGAGGGGCCTGGATATGGTTCCACTGGACCCAACGGCCGGCTCGATCAGAGTTGCTTCATATTTGTGAACAATATGCGGCGAAACATGCGCTAGTAGGGGAAAGGAAGGCAAAACGGCCTACTTCAGGAAAAACTCAAAGCAGAAAAAAAAAAACTTTTATTTAAATTTCCTTTAATTAGAACTAAACAGCATTATTTATTTTACGTTTAATTATTAATCAGACTTGAATAATATCACAAATTATGAAATTATTACATGATTTCTGATAATAACAAATGGTCCATTTTGCCTTAACGTATGAGGCAAAAAGAACCACATTTGAAGGCAAAATGGACCTAGTCAGTCAGAACATTTTTTACATACAAATCTAACTTCTTTGTCGTCATCGTCGACACCAGCACAAGCACAATGTGCCCATAGAGAAGCATCGCTTGATTCTGAAAACTTATGGGTACAATAAAGTAATTTATCCTCAGAGATTAGATAACTTCTCTTCTTTTTAGATCTTTTAATTTCACTCTTTTTTCTTGCTTTACCTTTATTAGTTCACCGTCGTCATCACCTTGATTAATCAGCGCACGTGCGGTTGCTGCGTCGAAGGCACTGACCGATGGGGGGGGGGGGGGGGGTACGAATAGTATTAACATATTTCGTTCAGAGATGGGGGTAATACTTTAATAGTTATCAAGGCGGCCTGTTTTACCTACAGGGTCCATTTTTAATTCCTTTCCCTGTTGTTTTTGTGTTTGTGTGTGTGTGTGTGTGTGTGTGTTTAAAAATTGTTGTTTTTATAATTAAGTGATGTTATTATAAATATTTGAAACATGTAGTTGCAATAGACACAGTTTTGATGGTTTCATTATTAAATTAACTCATTCAAAAGGTTTAAATTACTCAAATTATCTATCCTATTACGATTTATTCAGTTAGTTTTATCTTTTAAATAAAACTTGATTTCAATTGAAATGTTGTTCTAGCGTCATCTGCTGGCGGTTTGCGAGAGAATATTATTTGTTTTATTTTAAATAAAGGTAATTTTAGTTAAAAAGATCTAAAGTTATGATAAATTCATTAATATGTTTATCTTGAATATTGAGCCATATTTAAGAATAACTTTGTAATGTTGTAATTTATTTGTTGATAAAAGATACTGTCATTGCTATAACCGTTGTAGAAATTATAAATATAGGGATATCATAGTGAAAAGACACATTATACTAGCGATTGTACAAGAATGAACAAGTGATTATAAGTTCATATTTTATTGATATGGCCTCCGAAAGTGGTAACTCTGACTTAGAACCGACATATACAATGTAAAGAAGAGTGTCGGTATGGTCTTTGAGGCCTCCGGTGGAAGTGTGCCCCATGAGCCATTTATTAGACTGAACGGGTCAGGATAATAAAATAAAATAAAGTTGTTATTTTACTAATATTAGGCTTAAGTTAAATGTTACTAACGTATTGGCAATTGGAAAAAAAAATAGTTTTAAAAAACTAAATAATACGCTTTCTATAGAAAAACAAAACTAAAAAATAGAAAATAAATTTGAAAAAAAAAGGATTTTTTTTAATTAGTGTATTGTCATCGGTCCTCGATATATCTACAAAGTTTGAACGAATTCTGACCGTTTAAAGTCAGTCAAAATCACGCCCAAAGGAGTCGGTTACAAAAATACAAGTGAAGCTAATATAAAGCGTGTAAAAACATGTATACTTTAGTTAGGTATGCCAAATTGAAAGTTAAATTAGTTTGTTAAAAATGCGGATTAAAAAAGTGGTAGGGTATATGTAGATTATTTGATCGAAGATTGAAATAGGACACATGCCAAATCATCAAATCTAGTAACAATTAAATCTTTATTTGCACGTACATAGTAACAGAAATCAATCGTCGTCGTCTAATTTTTGTCTTATATTCCTCTTGGCGTTATTAAACTTGCGCTTTTTGAACTCCACGGGTTCATCGCCCAGGGACTGCACTCGTTTCTCTTTAAATTGTATTATTTCAGGTTGGACGACTACTGGAGGCGGCGGCAACTCTTTCTCGGGTTTTGGCAACTGAAGATCTATTTGTTCCACTTTCCTAAGTCAAACATATATTTGCTTATTATTACAATTTTTGGTGTTTACCATTACATAGCAATAACTTCAAAGGTATGAAAAACAAATACTGAGGTTTTATTTTTTAAACAGAGATTTTAGTATGAATTGATTACAGAAAAAAGGATATAACAAAAAATATCTAAAATGTAGACTATTCTCGCTGAACAATATTGAATAAAGCCTGGGTAGCTTAGTGACTAATTCTGTGGCTGTGGCTAAGTGACTAATGGCACGGTACAATTATAATACAGTAGTGTAACTCGGCCGCATGATAGAAATAAATGCATACAGCCGCGCGGTACGTAAACATGCGTTAGGGCTGCCCGTCTCCAGCATTTTAATTATATTTGCCTACTTTCTGTTTCTATTTAGATTTGTGATTGTAAATATCCTTTTTATATAAATAAATGAAATACTTTGTATATTGAATAGGAATTGTTCAATAAAAATGCGTGTTGTTTTTTGATTGGTAGATTTAATTAAAAAAACATGTTTTTGTTTGAAAATCAAATCGGGCTTATAAATTTGCTACCGAAAAAAATCCTTCTATGAAATAAAATAAATGTGCTTTCTCCTTACGCGTTACAAAACTCCAATCCTTAGAAACTTCAACACCTACCTACTCAACTAGAATGCAAGAAACAGCTGACGAGTAAGTAACTTTTTATCTCAGCTTATTAACGTCTCTATAAATTAGGTACCTACCTACAACTCGCAACAACTCAAAACAAAAATTCTTTGGTCACCAATTAATTAATTATTAAAATGCTGAACAGCTGACTACGAATGTTTTAAAATCACAACCCTCAAACATCTAAATATTATATATGAGTCTAGCTGTTGTTGTTAATACCGAGAAAATAAAACCAGTTTTTAGTGGTATATGTTTTTATAGTAGCAGCAGAAACACTTTGTGAAAATTTCGAAAACTGTCTAATGACACACAGACGGTAAAAATTTTTTTTTAGTATTATTCATACACACAGATAATAAACCAATATTATTAATAATAAAATACCACGTCTTTACTTTGAATTATGCAAAGTAACAAAACACACATGCACCGAAGTTTTAACACAAGCGTAAGTAGGTAGGTACCCACCGTATCATGATTCATTCAGAACCGCATATAACTCCCTATTTCACTCGTCTCAATAACTTTCCGTTACTCTATTTGCTTTATTTATTCACCCAACACACCTTTTTTTTCGTGAGATAAAAGGAAATACTTATCCATTAAAAAGACACACATTATGTACCTACCTACTAGTAAGTAAAATTATTTTATAGTCTTAACTTTCAGAGTTTCCCGGTAATTTAAAAAAACTTATGCGTTATTGACGAATTCATACAACCAAAAACAGCACAATATTTCCTACTCGTCATATTAACTGATTTTTAGAGAAAAAATCGCGCGGTTATTGTTAAAAAACAACACACGGTCCGTTCGACACTGCGGTACAGCCGTGACTGTCTGCGCCCCGAGCGCACCCCGAGATCGAGGCGCGTAGGTATAGCTCGCGTTTCGTCCGTTTGTATGAAGTTGGAGTACTGTATTATAATAGTACCGTGCTAATGGTCACCTGAAGATAAGTGACTATTGCCTCTCATAGACCCATGGCACATCAAAGTCGCAATTGCCATGCCGCATTTAGAAATATTACATTTACGACAACCATAGTAATCATTTACGTACTCATTTACGACTGGAGTCCACGAGCCATACGGTTTAAAAGCCCGTGGCGCAGGTCCATAGTTCAGTGTAACTGGCGGTGGTTCATCTTTGTTCACAGCTAACTCTCTCATTTTCTCTCTTGCTAAGTGAGCATTGACTTCCTTCATTACTTCCTTTTGAGCTTCCTTTTGCTTTGTCTTCCTTTAAGAGAAAATGACGAGTTAAGCTTTTAATAGTAAATTCTTTACATTCTTATATCGTTATCCTACAAAAAAGTGTAATTTCACATGTAAAATTCTGTTTAAATAGCAAATTTGACATTTGATCGGCTGTACAATTAACTTTACGTTACTTGTAATAGTGACCTCTAGATGGCACAAAATTTACTTTTCCACTATTATGTTGCTACAGAGTGGATATGTGGTTTATTTTTTTTATTTTATTTTTATTTTTTTAGGGATAACAACAGCTGCAATTCTTAACTAGGTAGTAAACTATGATTACATGAGTAGCCAATAAAAGTTATCCACGGTAGATATGTTGTTGTTTTGCCTAAAAAGTCAAGTCAATGCCCCCATCAACAAAGGAATGTTCCGATTGATAGCAAGGGTAAAGAAGTAGGATGCGTCTGCAGGAAACGATATCGATTCGTCTCGCTTAAAATGAGTTGGGCCGGCTGTATCGCGGGGGTGGTGGCCAGCATCGAGGTTAGAGCGTAAGCATTTGACATTGTACAAGTGCACGGTAAGCGTGGCGAGGGGTGCCTCGATGAACTTATTCCTTACTTGTTGGAAAGGTTACTTACTTTAATTTCTCTTTTTTCTTCTCCTGTTCCTCATCCTTCAATTTTTTCTTTTCCTGATCAGCAATTGATAAAAATTCATCAGGAGGGTCCCATGTGGTCTCTGAAATTGATCATGGCATATAAATATTTATAAAAAATATTTAATCCACTCTAGTACAACCACAACCAATATGCTAATGTAAGATGTCTCAAGGTTACCAGTAAAATAGTTTAAATATAATTACCATTTGTGACAGTGTTCCAGAAATAAGAACTTCCATTTTCACTTTTTATTTCATTCCATACGGGAGGTGCTTTCTTTTTTGTCTGAGTGGCTACTACAACTTTAGTATCACTTTCACCAGCTAATGTTTGCCCTACCATTTCATTGATGCTCTGAAAACGAAAAGATAATAGATTATAAATGATATATGATCATAGGCTTCTAGAGAAGCCTTGCAGAGAGGAGCATCAACTTAATTATGGTAAGATAAAAACGCCAAGGCAGAATTAGCCTCAAAAAACGTTGGTATGCTGAACAGACCGAGAGACTACGTCATTGCCATTGCCTAAAAACTTTAAAACGCACAGGTTCGGGCGCATAGCACTGTTCGCACATACATATATAGAGTTCGCATATACAGAGGCACATTAATACTAGCTTCTCCCTCTACACTAGTTACAACAGAGAGAGACTAGAATCGTTGGTTGCCGGTATATGTGAAAACGGCTTAATCCTCTTTCCTTACGTAGAGATGTGTTGCTTCACTCTGCATTCATTAATTCTCAGAGGAAATGTTCAGATCGTAGGTTTCCGCCATCGTTTAAGACGAAAATAATTCTACGTCCGTCCTTTCAATCATTAGCACTTCACCATTATGCGCTTTTCAAGAAAGCTTTAAAAGGTTGATCATGTTTAATTATAACGTATAGGGGTGTGCCATTTCGTTCGATAACTTGTTGTCATCGTGTAGGTAGTGACATAATCCCGTTACTACAGACATCTTAGGATTTGACACTATCCAAAGAATTGTACAGGGACCGAAACAGGTGAAAATCTGAAGGTGAAAGGTCAGGACTATATGTTGGATATGTTAACACTTCCCAACCAAACTTACTCAATTTTTACTGAGTGGTTTGGCATTCCTTCTCTGTTGACCAATGTGGACCATTTTTTCTGAATTTCTTGCATAAGTCTCATTATTTGTTGACAGTAGAGATCCAAACCAATGGTTTTGCTGGTGGTAAAAGCTCATAATGAACTATGCCCTTACACTACCACCATACACACAGCATCACCTTATTAATCAGTCGTGTTAATCAGGGTTTCGCTACAGTCTGTGGACCTTGACTACCCTTTGATCATGATCTTTTTCATGGTAGGTCATTTCGTCGCTGGTAATCAATCTTTTGAAAAAAAAAGAACCGCAAATGAGTACACGATTCTTAAGGTTGCTTTCAATTCAATTCTTAAGGGTGCGCTCGTGTGGCACAGAAATATCGAGCTTTATTGTAAAGTAAGTATTTTTAAAATGGTTCTAAACCTTCGTAAGTATATACTAATAAACTCTTTCTCCACTTTTCCAAAAGTTTAATTTATCTTTGTCTTAACAGACATTTATAGTGTACAAATGTGTCGTTTTAATAGCTTACAATCACACATTTGTACAGTATAATAAAAAATACTTACAACTTTACTTGAGCCAAATTCAGTTATAATAGAACTTATTTTAACATTGAGGTTTTGTAATATGCTTTTTAAAATTAGTGTCTTGTCATAAAATAGATATTGCTCTAAGAGATTATGTACAATGTTTAGTTCATGATTATTATTTCTATTCTATCTTGACTATCTTGATCATACATTCATAGATATTGATTTATTTTTTGGTATTATGTGTACCAAGCGTACATTTTTGGTATACATATTTTTTTGTATTAGAGGGGGCAGACGAGCAGATGGGTCACCTGATGGAAAGTAATATAAATACTATGTAATTTGGAATTTCATTAAAATGGACTGGGAATTGCGATCAATACTATAACATTATTTACATCTTGAATTTGTTTTGTTAACCCAATGAGGTAAAAATTAGTATGCTGAAATAACAAAGAACAACTTCTATAATAATAATAATAATTCTACCTGTGACGTAATATCTGCATTATTCTGTACATCTTTTAAATAAGCTGCCATTGCTGCAGCCTCCATTTTTTTTATGTCATCATCCATTTTTTCCTTTTGTTTAAGTTCCTTAGTACTTTTCTTACTAAGTGTCGAAATGTGCTTCTGAACATTTTCCTTGTGTCGTTTTCCATTCTCATGGAATGATATGGACTGAAAATACATTAGTTATAACTTTTGAGTATGAGAGTCAAGCTTTACAAGAAAATAACACATCAGAATTAAGGTAAATTCATAAAAGTTTGTCAAAAATGTATTACTTGTAATTTTAGTCTAGGTATTTGATGGCATATTTACAGATTTATTGTATTTATAGCAAGTATAGATAGTATTACTTCTTTTAAACAATCAAACAAATATTAATGTGTAAACCAGAAGTAAACCAGTTTAATGTCACTGTAAAGAATGCAGATCACCAAAATGTACTATTTTTAATTTTTATGTATGAGCCATCTGTGTGATGACGGATTACGAATATGGAGTTTCACCACCCCTATTCACCCTGTGGGTATCATAAGGGCCTACTATGGGAGCAAACTATGGAGGACAATAGCACTGCAAAAGAAAAGAAAATCTTGAAAAGCAAAAAAGACTGTTGATGATGATTATTTATGAGCATACTTAAATAAGCTTATAAGCTATCATATCATATCATCATACCACATCATATTACTTGTGTTTTAGAGTCCTCCACACCAGTCAAGCCGTCACCACATGGTTAGACTAACTATATTAAAAGTAAACAATTTTATATTTGCTACTGTTACTTACAACTTTGTTGTCAGCAAACCAACATTTACAAAATTCACAATACTTCCTAGCTTGAGACTTCCAGTACTCAGTCCTACAAAAAAAACAATTTTACTAACTTTAAAAACCATTATCTGTGTATAACACACATTTTGACACTATTTAAACATTATATGATTAAAATTACATATTTTATGGACACTTACATTGTGTGATAAAGCAAAATTTGGCTTAAACACTGAAGTACCTTTAACAAGGTCTTTTTGTTTATATTTCCTATAGATCATAGGATTTTTTTATTATGTTGTGAATTATCACTCTAATCAAACACAAAAGTTACTTTGCCTAAATAGCTTAGGCCTGCTTCTTCACTATAGTCCTTCCTTACAAACTGTTACTACAACCAATACAACAAACTGCAAAGAGTACAACCGACTAAAACGTACAACACAGAAGTACCGTTTGTCAGTTCTAAGTTCTGACAGATTAAAGAATAAGGTTGTCAGAGAAATCAGTTTTTAACTTTGCGATTCTTATGAGATATCGATTATACTATATTTTTTAGTTACTTATCGTTTACAGTTTTACATATTTATGTATGTTACTGTAAAGCTCCATTATTGGTAAGTCTTAGGTTTTACTAGTAAATCTTAGTATATACTAATGTGTGCAGGAAAATGTGTTTTTCAAGCTTTTCAGTTTCATGATCTTCCCTAGCCAGATTTAAAAAAATATGCGTTTTTGTATAGAGTTGGCAGGAGTGATTTGGCCTGCAAGGATTTATTTAAAATTGCATTGACTTTATTATTTTAATTATACGTTTTCGTTGTCCATCCAAATTTTGTAAATAGTGGCAGAACATTTCTAATAGTAACAATGGTTTAAAACGGTTACAATAGTTTCCAATTTTTTTGGATAGAGGTCCTAGCCTCATTTGAAGGGTTTCGCCGCCTCTACTGTGCGATGATACGATCCATGGCCTTCTACGGAGCGCCGATATGGGCCAAGCGCCTATCGGCCTTCTCCCGGTGCCGATACCGGCCACTATGGAAGGAATACACGAAGGCACAGTCCTGGCACGTTTTACGCCCTCTGATATTCTGGCGGATATGGACGCTAGAGTCTATGACGCGATCCGCTGCGGTGAGAGCGAGAAAGACCAGGACGAGCTCGAAATGCGGCGGCAGGCTCACCTAACGCGTGCCGCGTGCGGCTGGAACAGCCACAGAATGCACGCCAAGGCGCTGTCGGTGCTGTTCTGCCTAACCTCGAAGCTTGGGTAGGTAGGGAGGGAGGTCTCCACCCAACATACGCTGGAAGACTGCCCTGGACGACCAAATCGGACGAGACCTGTCCCCGCTAGCAATCATTGCTGCCATGCTGGTGGGTGAGGAGGAATTTGGCGTAGTGGTCTCTTTCTGTGAGGCTGTAATGCTCCAGAAAGAGACCGCTGAACGGGATCGGGAGACCGCCAAACCCAAGCGTAGAGGACGCGAGGCGGCCATAGAGTGGGGACCTCTGGTGGCAGATTGAATGCTGCGGTAGGAGATAGGATGGCGGCCTGATTGCATTAAGACGCAATTGGGCCGCCACGTCGCCATTGAGGGGGGCAAGTGTATTTCCCCTGGGATAGAGCCTGATTGGGCATGGTGTCAATTCGGGGTGGACCTGAAATAGTACCTGAGTACCTGAGGTTGGCCGTCGGGGTGGTTTTTAGTGGAATCACCCCATACTCCTGGCTTCTGAGTCCCCGAGGACTAGGAGATCCGAAGAGCTTTTCTTTTCCTAATTAATGCCAATTGTAAGAATGAATAAACGAACAAGGTAATTTTCGGTTGAATAAAAGAGCGAGGTGACCCTACGTAATTCATTTTTCTTGCATCAGTCATTAATCAGTAGGTATCTCTTAACTTAAGTCTGTATTCACTATACAATAAATGTTATTGATGGATGGCAATTCGATGCAAAACACAGGTGTTGCCAGTTACTGCATTTATTTTGTTTTGTGAGTGAAAAACAGTAGATAAGAAATTAAATATTTTCGTTTCTAAATAGTAAAAATTATTTGTTTCAATATTAAGAGTTTTAATTGGCTCCAATTTTACTTTATGTGAAATTTCTGGTACAAATAAATAACTGCGCACTTCAGTACTTGGACAATAATAAATAAGTTAGAAGGCTTGGCAACACTGTTTTGGTTACATTGTGATGTCGTCGTCGAGTATCGAGTGTCGTCGTCTTTTGTAGAATTTTATCAAGGTAATGTTTATTTAACAAATTTGAATGCAGAATTATTAAATTAAATGTATGTTTGTTCTTATACAGATATTTTTTTGGTGCATGGATAATTTTTATATTTTAGGAACTTGTCATTTATGTTTCTTGGCGGCCATATTAAAATTTGAAGATGTAGTATGACTGTTTTATCGTGTATAATCTTTCTAATCGTTACGCTTTAACATCTATTCAGTGCAAAAATTACTATGTTATAACGTAAGCAATGCTAGGTTCTTATTAGTTTGTATGTGTATTTATCTATTAGGTAGAATTTACTGTTATATTTATTTGTTCTTATTTTTGTGCTTGTTGACGCGTCTTGTAATCTCGTTTGCCTGAATCCCGCTTTGGATTTTTTCAAGTGATACGGTAATTGATTTCAATCATTGTATTGTTACAGATATCCCTGAAAAAGTTGGTGAACGTGATAAAACTTCTAAATAAGCATATGTATCTAAAAGTGACTTTACGTAAAATTTGTTTGGTGTTGGACTTGGACAAAGAATTGTGATTCTAAGTTTCTAATTTTAGTCGTGTCCCTAGTGGGCTTATTTCGCAAAATGATGACCGAAAATAGAATTAGTTCAAGTAATTACGTCGGAAACAGTATGACCAGTCAGAATAAGGGGTACGTATAATGTATACCTTCTTTCGGTTTTTTTTGGAGCCATGATAAAGAGAACGGCCATTAAGTATGATTTAAATTTTACAGAGATGTCGATAAAAGTATCGACGACATCGGTTGGAAAGCAAAATTAAAAATACCCCCGAAAGACAGGAGAATAAAGACTAGTGTAAGTATTTAAATTGTGTTTCTTTGCTTTTAATCTTTGATAACTTATTTTTGTCTCAGGGTCATCACACATTTATCATTGTTTATACATATAAGTATTGTATTACTGATGTCAGTTTTTTTATGTATTATCATTTGTAGGTTTACTGGTTTTTAAAGTTATCAATTGTAGCAGCAATTTATTTGATCTTATTGGAAAGCAATCTGCAAAACATTTACTATCATTGCACTTAAACAAACTTCTCCTTCTCACAAGATATACAAATGTTTACCAACAACATTGTTTACAGATTTCAAAATAAATGTTAAACATGACATTAGGCATTATAAGTAATACTTTAATATTTATGTTATTTATATATTATGTTTTTATTAAACCTTTAATTTAATATTATTTATTATTTATTTTTTTAATTTATTACTTTTTTATTTTTTTCCCGTCTGGCCAGCGTGGTATAGTAGGCCAAAACCTCCTTCCTAAGGAGAGGCCTATGTCCAGCAGTGGACTAGTAAAGGCTGTTGATGATGATGATGATTAAACCTTTAAAGCAAGAAATCATTAAATATATTTCTTAAGTTTGATGATGTAGCGAATGCATTTAATTATGATTTCTAATAATAAGAACAAGTAAAATATCAATTTAGTCTACCTTTTTTTCTTTTCGGTTCTAAGTTCAATAGTAAATTTTACAAAATGAGCTCATAAATTCATTGATTTGTTTACATTTTCTCTTTTTTCTTTCAATTGTTTTTACTCAATGTAACAATTTAATAATTAACAATATTAAATTGAAAAGTATGAAATATTTTACTGTTATTGCAATACTATAATTAGAATGATATGTTTAAATAACTTAATAATTGCATATTCAGGAAGGGATAAAGAAATACATTCAACATATTGGAGTGTAATGCTAGAAAGTAGTTTTTTTAATGCTATAAATATCTAATATTTAATGTAGGTAGTTTGTAATGATGGAGGCTTTTTTGTAATTTATCATTTTCCTGTAAAATTTAAATGAAGACTTCTGTAGTGGCCTGGTACTGTAGTTTTTTTTTATTGTACAATTTTGCTTGTTTTTTTTTTTTGCAGATTTGTATTAAATTTGAAGTTATTTCAAATTGTATAGTGCTTCTGATACTGATGGCGAAAATAACACACTAATGTGTATAAAACAAGCCAATATATTGGAGAATTTTTAATTTGGTACCAATATCATTTAGTTTCAGATTTGACAATATCTCTAAATTTCTTTTGTTTGTGCATAAAATTTGCATTGTTTTGTCTGTGTTGATTGATAGTTCTTTATCTGAACTTACTAAGGGTGTATATTTTATCTTAGGCACGAGAAAACGATCTTAGGCACCTTTTGGCTAACAGTGGAGTCAGTTAGAAAGCAGTGAAGAAATGCATTGAAGGCTCAGAATAAACACTATAATTATTATTCAGATATAGTATACATATTAAGTTTTAAAAATATATGTATAGATATTAAAAAATATAAAAAATAGTGCCCCATTGGTATCATCGGGTACATAAAACAAACTATGTTTGCAACAGTGTCAAGAGTCCTTAAAATTGGACAAGCTTGTTTTTTTAACCAAACATTTAGAGCTCATTTTTACAAATGTTATATAGTAATACTCCTGTTTTTGAAAATTCCACATAGTTTTCTAGAAATAAAAATTTGAAATTAGTAATTTACTCATTCCAAAAGGGGGAAAAAATGGTATTGTATATAACTAATAAGGATTAAACTCGAAAACTACACTATTTCATAGACCCCTTAGAACTACACGTGATAAGCGTTAAAATATGCTTCGTAAATGCTTTTAGTTAATCAGAATATTTTTTTTCGTTATTTCAGTTTTTATTTTTTACTCAATTTCACCATGACATATGCAAACTTTTTTTATTGCATGACGAAGCGTGATATGTATTCTAGTAGTGTATAAAAACTTAACTTGAAATTCAATGGTATATTTGAAAAAAGATAAATTGAAAATCTACACCTGGGCTGTCACGTTGAAAGGCAAGTTTACCTCTCTTTTTAACCGACTTCAAAAAAAGGAGGAGTTTCTCAATTCGTCTGTATTTTTTTTTCATATTTTTTTTACTAAATTCTATTTTTTTATTATTTTGTTAATGCTTTACCATATATATATCGTAAGATAAATTAATTAATACTTTTTAATTTTAACTTCAATAAAGTGAAATAACTAAATAAAACATGGAAATTTATATACATGTGTTATGCTTTTTAATTGCACTATGTTTTGCTAATTATTAAAAGTACAGGTGCCAATCTCAAAGCTTTTTTAATTTTAATGGGAATTAGTTCTTTTTTTAATTCCAGTGAAATACTATGTGTTGTGCGGGAAGGGGTCCACCCTCATTAGGTATTTACCGAAACCCCAAACGAACGACCAAAGCGATGAAATATCGCGTGCAATTAGTATTTTTAATTATTAGAACTGTTTATTATATAAATAGAATTATATGAATACAAAAATGCATTGCATCCTATAATACTATATACATAGGTGACAAGGCTCATTTTTTTAATAACATAAGCATCAATGTATCCCTTCCATAAGAAACAACCGTAAAAAATTTGTAAAACGAAATATTTTTTTTCAAATATACCACTGAGTTTAAAGCCAATTTTCTATACTATTTGTATACTGTTGTAATAAAAAAAAATTGCACATGTCAGTGAAGTTGAGTAAAAAAATAAAACCTCAATAAAATTCTTGAGGAAATATAATATAGTAAATAAGATATAATATTACAAAGCGAAAGGAACTTTTTATTATTGTTGTTTTTATTATTGTATGGGTATGAAAATGTTACCAAAGTAGAATAAGTCCTGATAAGATTTGTACGAAGTATATGTAAATTAAGATTAATTGCCAAGTAAGACTATATTTTAGATTAGATATTATAGAGCAGGTATAGATAACCCACATTATGAGCCTGATTTAGGATCTAATGACAAAATTGAAAAGTAAATTAAATCGCGAGGTGTAATCTGTTGTTCTCAAGTTGTTCATTGGTTAACCAATCTGGTTGGCGATTACAATTGTATTTATTTGGCTGGTATTTGGCTTTCTCACGTGAATGAGATTAAAAAAAATGTTTTTAGTGTAAAGGCTGGCGGTGGTGCGTAAACAAACGCCGGGCTACTGTGCAACTCCGCTGCACTCGCAATACCATGATAAATATTACTGTATAAGACTAAGGCCATATTTCCGTGTTTTACTTAATTTAACCCAGTTTTCTCGCAATTTTACTGTTTCTTGCGGATACAAAATTACGTGATATTTGCCGAGATCCCCCCTCTCACCAAAGTAAGATTAGATGAGGATTCGGCGCGACCCTTTTCCCCTGAACGCCTCACGTAATTAATGGACGCCCTCTTACATTTAGTTATCTATAAATTATGATACTTTAATAGACTTTATAAGTGTGTATATATGTGCGTGTGATAGTGTGTGGGTATGTGTGGATTCGTGTGAGTACGTGTAGGTGAGTGTGTGTAAAGTTCACAAGTTTATTGATTTATTGATGGGGGTGTAGAAGAGCATGTCTCTTCGTAAGAGATGTTTCAAAGATATAATGTTATTATTTTCTTACTCATATTTGGTTTAGTTGTGAAAGTCAAGAATTTTATCAAGTTTGTTATATAAATAGCCTCTAAAAAAGAAGTGGAATTTTTGATCAAAATATGTTTTGAGTAATCTTAAACCTACGCTTGGTGCGGTCTGTGTGTATGAGTCTGTGGTTGTTTCTATACTGGAAGGAGGTATGTTGTCATAGTAGTAGGTATTTGGAGTATAAAAATTTCTGGGACTTCACAATATTCGCAGAGGCATTTGGTAAGGTTGAAATATGCAGGCCTTCAGAACAGCTCTTTGGGCACGCTCGAGATGAAGCTAAAGATTCTGTGCTGCTTCACCGCCACTGGAAATACAATATCCTAATTTGGATTAGCATAGCGCATGATAGGTAAACGTTTATAATTATACTAGCTGACCCTGCAAAACGTTGTTTTGCTATTTACATTTTTTTTTTTTTTTTTTTAATTTTTGACTACTCGGTGAAAAGAATATTCCTACCAAATTTCAAGTCTTTAGCTCTAATGGTTGCAGAGATATCGTGATGAGTGACTATATACGTGGAAATCTCTTATATATATATAAATTAGGGTCAGCAGCATGTCTTAAGTGTTTAAATACGTAAATCGATTTACGTAGTCTAACACACAATTGGTCGACATGCGGATTGAATGAAAAATGGTCATTAAGTATGATAACCAAGTACCTATCCACTTGTGGAAGTTTGGTTGAGATTGGGGCAGTCGCAAGTTAATTTTGTGGACAGTAATGTAAAGCCATGTTACATGGTTAAAATATTCGACCGACTTGTTTACAATGCAGGTTTCAGGTTGAAAGAAATTAAAACATTACAGGATAATAGTATGTTTATTATACCATGCATCCCTCTTCAAATGTTTTAGTTTAGTAAGATTAACAAAGCTCAAGATCATTATATTAAAGATTATTATATTAAAGGATAACAGTTACGGGTGTAGAGTTACCTTTATGTAGTTCTGTTTCGTGTTAGTGATTTCAGAATAATTAATACTTTAATACTCAGACGTAACTTTGTTTATAGAAAAACATTACAATAACTATTGTAAGAACTCTTAAACTTACTTAGCATAAAATTCAGTATATCTAAATCTTTGTGAGTTCTTATTATACGAAATGATACTATTAAGATGCAAAAGAAGACCAAATAAATGTGTGATGAGCACGATCATTTGTTGTCTTGGTGCAATTATTTATGTATAATATGTATGTATTTAGAAATAGGTATATAAGCATGTTTATCAGCAATCTGGTTACCATAGTACAGGCTAGTTTAAGATCAGACGGACGTGTTTAAGATTATTATCAGTATTTAATGATTGTGCTCATTACACAATTATTTGTCCTGAGTGGGAATCGAACCCACGAGTCACGGCCTTTTGGTCTAGTTGTTAGTGAACAACTAGACCAAAGGGCCCGTCGATTTGCAGTTATGTACCACTATTATGTATCACTATTTCAAATGCTTTATATGAAGTAGAAATATTGCCTATATGAATGCTTCACCAAAACTACTCTTAATGTCGCCTATCTACTGTCGTCTTGTCCATTAAGAGTCCAGGTGTTTTAATCTAATTCCTTGTAAAAATTCTGTTGTACAATCTAAGTGTGCTCCTATATTTTTTTTTGCTTTACAGGATGTAACAGACACAAGAGGTAATGAGTTTGAAGAGTTTTGCCTAAAACGAGAGCTGCTGATGGGCATTTTTGAAAAAGGCTGGGAAAAACCTTCCCCCATCCAAGAGGCTTCTATTCCTATCGCACTTAGTGGCAAAGACGTCCTTGCAAGAGCTAAAAATGGAACTGGCAAAACTGGAGCATATTGTATTCCAGTTTTAGAACAGGTTTGGATACTTATTTTGAGTTGACAACTTGTTATCAACATTGTATAGCCACAATACAGGCTACGCCCAGTGCGGCTATCATAGTCAATGTGGCATATGTGTAAATTTAAACGAAATATATTATGCTTATTATTATGTATAAAGTGATGATATTTGGATTCCCCTTCACTTGTCTATAAGTGACAAAATCCTTGCCTTCTGATTGTTTAAAAAAAAGAGCATTATTGTAATACACTACAACTGTGTTCTACAAAACCCTTTTTTTGCACTTTATTTAGGTGGATCCCAAAAAAGATGCTATTCAAGCTTTAGTTGTGGTACCCACTAGAGAGCTAGCACTCCAGACATCACAAATTTGCATTGAACTGGCGAAGCATACAGATATTCGTGTCATGGTCACTACAGGAGGTACAAATCTTCGGGATGACATTATGCGTATTTATCAGAATGGTAAATTTGTTTCTACAGATCATTTAATAACATAACTTTAATTGAAATAAAAAATGCTTAAGTTAATGTTTTTTTTTTCAGTCCAAGTAATTATTGCTACGCCAGGTCGTATGATTGATCTCATGGATAAACAAGTAGCTAAGATGGACCAGTGCAGGATGCTGGTACTTGATGAGGCAGATAAACTTCTTTCTCAAGACTTTAAAGGCATGTTAGATATGGTTATTTCACGGTATGTACTCTTTACATAAATATCAATATGAATATTTTCGTAGTACATATCTAATAGAACGAAATTAAAAAAATAATTGCAGATTACCTAAAGAACGCCAGATCTTGCTGTTCTCGGCCACTTTCCCACTAAGCGTGAAACAGTTCATGGAAAAACACTTAAGAGAACCTTATGAGATTAATCTTATGGAGGAACTTACATTGAAAGGTGTTACACAGTACTATGCATTTGTACAAGAAAGACAGAAAGTGCATTGTTTAAATACACTTTTTTCAAAGGTGAACTTTACCATATATGCTTTATTACACTTATCAGTATTTTTTTACTACTTGAATGTTATAAATAATAAGATGTTTATTTTTGTTGTAGTTGCAAATAAACCAGTCTATCATATTCTGCAATTCAACTCAGCGTGTAGAGCTGCTCGCAAAGAAAATAACAGAACTAGGTTACTGTTGTTATTACATACATGCACGCATGGCGCAGGCGCACCGTAATCGCGTTTTTCATGATTTTCGTGCGGGACTGTGCCGTAACCTAGTGTGTTCAGATCTCTTTACTAGAGGTATCGATGTGCAAGCCGTCAACGTCGTAATAAATTTCGATTTCCCCCGTATGGCAGAGACGTACCTGCATCGTATCGGTCGCTCAGGTCGTTTCGGCCACTTGGGTATCGCCATTAATCTAATCACATACGAAGACCGCTTCGCATTACATCGCATCGAGCAGGAGCTGGGCACGGAGATCAAGCCGATCCCGAAGGTGATCGACCCCGCGCTGTACGTGTCGCGCCCGGACGACGACGACTCGGCCGACAAGTAACGCCGTGCCGCCCTCGCCGCTCCACGCGCACACCGCAACTAACTGGACTTGCTGACTGGTGAATGGAACTACATAGTTTAAATTCTTTAAAAACAAAAACTTATTTGTAAAAAGTGTAATGAATTTATCGTAACAAAATGTGAGTGTAAATAGTTTATCGTGATAAGACTTCACCCTTAAGTGGGTTACTTTTTTAAAGTGTAAATACAACCGTACATCAGGACGATTGAAACAAAAAGGTATCTTGCGTGCTTTGTCCATATTGGATATCGTGGGCGATTCCTACATTGTTAAAATATAAAAAATATTTATTTGATCATCTGTGAGAGTCTACCTAGATTTATCCATCATCGTACATAAATTGTGGTTGACTTTCTGCTGCGATCGCGAACCTCTACCCATACCATTGTGTTTGAGCTAGCACCAGATTTATTTGTCATAAAATAACACTTGATATATTCCGTATTATGGGTAGTAAGTCTGGCTCAAACGGCATTTGTTGTCAAAAGAACAAATATTTCCGTGTAAACAATGTTGTTTCTGGCCGCTTGAAACAACGTCGTCAAGCCGAACTTTATTAAGGTTATCATGATTCTGAACCGTTTGGACTAACCTAATTCTCCATGTCTAAGTAACAAAAAAATATAAAATTTCAGTTTATTTTGCAGTCCTCGGTGATGTATCATTGTAACCAAACTCTTACGTATTTGTACTCATCTTGATTTAACTATTATTGTAAAGCGGTTATTGTCACAGACATTAGTTTACAGATGTGTTGTTTAATAAGGCGGCAAGGGCATTCGTTCTGAAAATATTAACTTGACTCATTTTCAAGTATTCATAAAAACATAATTAGAACTAGTTGCCTTCCAATATGCCTTTGGTAAAGAAAATAGCATGTTAATGCTCTAGAACTCCTAACATTTTAAGAAACTGTGACAAAAGTTTGGGCATGAACTATTCCAACACGGCTTGCGGACATAGCTCATTGCCCATTCTGGGGTGTTAATTTTTTAGAGAGCTTTTGATTTAATCTACAACATCTGCTCTCAAGGGAAATAAGATTCGGGATGTCAAGTGAAGAGTTAAAAAATTGGTTATCTTAAACTTGCCAGAAAGGAGTTGCATTTTTTTTCAATTCTCTAAATTCTTGTAAATTTGATGTTCTCTGTCAATTTGCATTTACACTTATTGCTGTACACAAAGGATAGAACAAATTTATTTTTGGATGTCTAAAGTGTTTATAAAAATTTGGTGTTTCTTGTTTATATTCATATAAATGCAACCATAGAAGTATTACTAGTAGGATTATTTTATTAGCCTGTCAAAATTAAAACTGTAAATGTGTGCAAATGCTGGCTCTGGTAATTGATTTGCCGACTGTATTAGATTAAGGGTTGTTTTGGAAATGGAAGCTTGAAATTAATATTTGAAGGAAATTGAAGATAAACGTCAGTAATAATGGTTTTGACAAATATCTGTGATATAGATTGAATGGTGGTTTTATGGTACACCCAGCAACACAGCACTATATATTTGTAGTAATTAAAATATACTTAATTTTAATATTATAAAAAAAATATCACCTGTGTTGCTGATGCTATGTAACTGGCTAATATAAGATTTGTGTGTGTACCTAACTATACATAATATATTTAATTATTTAGTCTTCCGATAATCTCGAATTATGTGTAATGTACTGACCATTGAGAAGTAAAAATGACGCAGGTTAATAAAATAGTGACAATATTGTTATCTCCTTTTTGAATCATACTTGACATTGGTTCTTGATTCATTTTATCTGATAAGATTCAATCTATAACAGAAATATCCTAAGAATATTTTCATCTATATGTTAAGTTAATTTCTATTAATATGATCTCTGTTCTCAGTTTTATAAAGGAAAGGTAAATTAAGCTTGTCAGATAGCTTTTTACTTTGTATACGAACATTTAGATGATAATACCATGAATCAATGTCAAACCTAAACTGTAAAACAGGAATCGCAATAGGTTTCAGATACACCAGATTTTTTGAAACCAGCAATAGAACGCATATCAGATAATTATTTATGAAGACTTTAAATAGTTACGAATAAATCATGCTCATATACAAACATGTCAGTGTATATTCTTAAATGTATACTGACAGTGGCATATTCTGTAACGTTATTGTTTATCTTGTTTAATCTGTTACAGAAATATATTATTGTTAAAAAAGGGCCAAAAATAAACTCTTCACGCCAATATTTTCTTTTTTTTATTGAATTGAAGAGGCGATATATTACGGTATTAGTCTGTAAGTCGGAGCAGGGGTCAAAGTAAAGCACACGGTGGTCAAAAAGACCGCCCGCCTCGTCAGCGCAGCGCCTAAAGTGCTTCTTTAACTTCGCCGAAATGTCATTGTTTAAGTATAAGGCCGGGACTCCACCAAAGCGGAGAGATGTTTTTTAAACAACCAATAGAATTGCGTTATTGAGACATCTCTCCGCTCAGCTTCAGTGGAGATCGTTGTGCGGAGATATGTAATATTTGTATGGCGCGATGGAAGCGGAAATGTGAGCTGTGCGCGGACGACGCACGGCGGAGACGAGAGATGTGAGCGGCATGCAGTGATCGATGTCACCCTCCCCCCTCCCGCCCACCAGCAACCCGCAGAGCCCCGCGCATGCCGGCCGGCAATCTCGCTACCTTTCGCGTCAGAATGCGTACTGAGCACTCAATGCCTCGCACACTCGCAAGGCTAGCCAGCACACATCTCTGCTACACTACGCATTTCCGCACAGCTTCGGTGGATTCACCCGAGCTGAAAAACATCTCTTCTCGCACAGCACACCGCACACATCTCCGCCCGGAGTCCCGGCCTTACAGATACCTATTTAGTGTATGACGTCGTGTAATTGTGTATGGTATAAATTTGTGCATCTAACTATTGGGGGGGTATTCACAAAAAACTTTCCGCTAAGACAATGTCCCAATTTCACTTTTTTTATCCTATGGACGTAGAAGAAGAATGGTTTTAAAATTAGTGTATGGCTTAAGGTATGGTATGTCCGTGTAGTGACGGATTAAGAATACGGAATGTCACTACCCCAATGCATCCCGTGGGTGTCGTAAGAGCCGACTAAGGGCGCAAAACAACACAGGACACCAGCACTGCAAAAAGAAGGAAAACTTGACACAAACCCTTTTTTTTTTTTAACGTGTGGAAATCCCCTCGGACCGTCACCCCACCGGGGTTTGCGGCGGGGTGGTGTGTCGGACTCGGACCGACTAAAACCACACGGTGTGCCACTCTGCGCCTGTAATAGGAGGGATCCGGGAACAGCTGTTGTTAAGACATCCGGACCCCTCCTAGCGCCTGTCCGCTCCTGGTGTGGGCTCCGTCTCAAAATTTTCGGCGTGCACTTCCGCCTCCAAATCCCACGGGGGAGTTCCGGCCAACGCGCAAGCCACCTCCGTCGAAACGGTGCGGTAACCGCGTATGGCTCTGACCGCCAATACCCTCTGAGGGCGCCAGAGGCGTGCCCTATTTGGGGCGGTCAGAGCCACCCACACCGGTGCACCATAAAGCGCCATGGACCGGACAACCCCCGCGTACAGCCGCCTCGTGGGAACACTGGCCCCGCCCAAATTGGGCAAAAGTCGCCCTAGGGCGGAGGCAGTGTCCACCAGCTTCGGACCAAGCTGTCGGAAGTGCTCGTCGAAGAGCCACCTACCGTCTAGGACCAGACCCAGGTACCTTATCTGGGCCCGGACCGGTACGAGGACCGAGCCGACCTCGATTGAAGCGCCGGCGGGTGGACCACGACGGGGCCCATGAAATAATAGGGCCTCCGTCTTATCCAGGGCCACCCGTAATCCCAACGCCTCAATGCGCCCGACCACCTGGGAAACTCCCGTGGCGGCCAGGCGCGCCGCTTCCTGGAAGTTAGCCCCCCGGGCCATGAGTAAGGTGTCATCCGCGTAGCAGATTACACCCAGCCCGGGGGTGAGACGCCCTCGTAGGGCCCAGTCGTACCCGATGTTCCACAGGAGAGGTCCTAGGACAGACCCCTGCGGAACACCGCACGATATGGCCCTGCGTCTCAAGACGCCATCTCGGTCCTCGTACATGACGTTTCGCTCCTCAAGATAGTCTGCCACCAGCCGCCTCAGGTACTCCGGCACTCCGTGGTAGAGGAGCGCTTCCCTGATGCAGCTGAATGGCAGACTATTGAAGGCGTTGGCGATGTCCAAGGACACCGCCAACACCACTCCGCCGCAGCTCACGGCCTCCTCGGTCACGGCCTCGGCTTCTGCAGCAGGACCAGCTTCCCGCATTTCCAGCGCTTAGGGAAGCGTCCGGACGCCAGGCTAGCGTCCAACACCCCCCTGAGGTGGTCCGACATGTAGTCGAGGGCTCGGGCCATCACTCGGGCTGGAACCCCGTCCGGCCCGGGGGCGGTGTTCTTGGATCGAATCCGTAGAACAGCCGCCCCCAACTCCGATTCTCTGACGGGCGGAACATCAACCTCCCTGCCCCCGTCGTCTCCGGCTGATGCAGCCATCGACGGGGGTGTGTGCTCCGCCCGCTGCGGGAATAGGCCCTCGACCACTTCCTGCAGGAAGCTGGGCTGGAGAGTCTCCGTAAGGGGGGGGGCCCGACGTGCGGAGCTTTTGACGCACCGCACGATAAGGGCGACCCCAGGGGTCAGGCTCGAGACTCTCCAGCATCTCCTCTCTACACGCATCCTTGGCGCGGCAGATGGCCAGCCTCAGAGTTTTCCGAGCTTCTCGGTACTCCTCATGAAGCCGGTCCACCTCCTCGAGTTGACACAAACCCTATACCAACCCGTCTGGCCAGCGTGGTATAGTAAGCCAAAACCTCCTTTCTAAGGAGAGGCCTATGTCCAACAGTGGACTATTAAAGGCTGTTGATGTGATGTGATGTGACGTAAGGTATGGTGGTGTATGTGTGCGTTGCCCCAGCGGAAAAACTTCGAATTTCTTTGTGCGTCT